TAAGGTAAAAACGAGTTTATTTTTCATGTGCGCTCTCCATTTCACAGACGTGAAATGCTGCGTGCTTAGCGTTGATTCGTTTTGTTTTTATAGTCCAAGACTTGGACATAACTTGCATTTATTGACTTTATTTTATTATTTAGATTTACAAAAAATGTAAAGTTCTTGCACTTTTTCACTTTAGCTCAATATAAAGCAATCATCTTGGATATTAATGGCGACCGTTATAACAAGTGGTAGTGAGTAGTAAAGTATCATGAGCAGTACTGTCTTCTTACCCTTAACTACGATAAAATAATGCAAATATATAATTGTAAAATAATGGGACACAACAGTTCGACACCGGAAGCATATCCTAGGCCTCATTAAAACTCTCATCATTTCGCCTCCACGGCCTGGACATGGAATCTGAACTCAATGTTTTTTCCGAAACCGGTTGAGATTGGAAAACCGGCAAAGATAAGATTGTAATTGCCTCTCGATCCGATCTMAAGAACCATCTTAGGGCAGACTGTATTCCTGAAAGTATGARTGTTAATCTTTCATTTCTGTATTCCTGAAGACCTTGGAGGAAAATTTCACGTTGATATATATATATGAGGATAGTATGTCACGGATGGACCAGTGCATGCTGGGATATACTGCGCAATTTTTAGAAAGCTTACAAAAATGTCGCCGTTTAAAAGAACTTAGCACTTTTACTAGGAACTGATGTAAAATGAAATGTAAGTGTTTCACTAAATCTCAGGACGATTTTTAAAAATGTGTGTATATATGTCATTTTTGCATTTCTTGCATGTAGCGGATACTCATGAGTTCACACGTCACTGAACTGAATTATATATTTGCTATACGGGGACGTGCCGCTGGCCAGGGTATGGTTTTTGGCCTTGCTGTAGTAAACAGAGTATACATTTCACCCGAAATTGTCTTAAACAGGCTCTACAATTTAGATAAAAACCGATATATTTTTGTGTGTGTCTCAGACAGTGTAATATCATAAGAAATACCGTACAAATAGTAGAAATACCGTTTCACTGTACCAGGCTGTATTAACGTGTTATCAAAAACTTCTTATTGTCTTTGCATATGGATGTCAGTTTAATTACAGTTTTGATCATTTGATGGTTGCGGCGTAGATAACGATTCCGTATTTTTCCGATTTGTCTTGAACAGGGTGTGGATTCACTTTCTAATGTCTTAACAGGATCAGGGTTTTAGACCGCTGGCGGCACGTACTTATCATGATAACGGGGAATTATTAATTATCCCCCCCGGGGAATTACTACAAATTTTGGGATTTTTTTATTCCACATAAACATCTTTCTTTCTTTGTAAGTCTTGTTTTGCTATTATACAAACTTTTGTCCAGTCAAAATCAAAGCAAGAGAGCAGGTGTATATAAAATACTAACTCGACACCCCATCAAAAGCTGTCGTTGCGGTAAATAGCAGCACTTGTCAATCGAGGAACAAACAAAGGAATTTTTCTTCAAAAATTATGACATGTGTCGAAGTGTTTTCGACCCAATCTGTAGAATGTAATTGCATGCCTAAAGGATTTTGGTACAAAAATAGTGAAAGTGATGTAAACCCGTATTGTATTATTTTTCACTGTGTAAAATAAAGTGAAAAGTTAGATTAAACTTTTTAATTAACAGAGAATGTATTCTATTATTTTATTTGAGCTCCTCCATTATCTCTATTCTCAGCTGGAAATATCCAATCGACAAATGGGAATGTCACGCATATCGGCGTGACCGATTGGTGTTGTTGTTGACGTGGTTACCTAGAGATCAAACTCCCCATTTGAATGGCCGTCAGTTCTATATATGTCACGAGAAAATCGTATATACGACAACTCTCTCTGATCCCCAGTGGATTTACGACAGAATCACAGTATTTTGAAGCATCAAAACAACTTCTACAATGTCCTAGAAAGTGGCAATAAAGACTGCCTAATTGGAAATCTTTCCAAAAGTTACAGTTTGAATTTATAGAAATTATAATGATTGCTAACGGGAATTTAAAGAAGAATCGTGTCATCCCAGTTAATCTCAGACAGAATATACCACCAGAACTTACAGAAGACGAACAGAGTTTAATTGCTGGCACTTTTCCACTCAGGAGACGCGGTCAAAATGGAGAACCACCACGACGAACTGCTCGTGTATCTCGTACGTCCGTAACATCGGCAATCGAATCTCTTGGTCGAGCAAAGATTGGCTTTACTCGATGGCGAAATGCGGCTCTTGAAGAGACTAACAATGAAAGAGAGAACTCGTTTGTCGGACTGCAAAGACCTAGAAGTCGCATGAAGCTGGGAATTCCTAATAAAATCAGCATTCATCGTATGAAYGCAGCTCAGCTAAGTGATCTAGATGATCTCGTTGAAGACTCCATTGATGGGGTTCCGGGTCGCGAAATGAGGAAGAAAACAGACGAGGCAGTGAGCTCCCCGAGCCGAGCTTTACTCTACTACTTCGCTAAGCTAGCATCAAATTCAAACGAGCAAGAAATAATTGATTTAGAGTTTGTGGGAACATTAATTCAATCGGGCGCCGATGTGAACATCACCGACAGACACGGTCAGAGCGTGATGCACGAAGCGGCTCGTCAGTGGGAAGTTCAAGTAGCGAAATTTCTTATAGATAAAGGTACTTGTGTTAATACTCTTGACAAATATCATAGTATACAGTTTTATTGAGTAATAATCATTCTTTTCAATCGTAAACAAACGTATATAGCAATTAATACATTCTTAGAAGTTTATTGACACTATGTTCTACGTAGCAACGTCACTATATTGTTTATAATTCAGGTTAATATTTAACTTGTATAACTTATTTCGTGGGTTTATGAGATAAAAGAGTTATTTCATTAGTTGTTTTATATCGTGACACAAGGGTACAAATTTGTACAAATGAAAAC